GGTCGCTCGCGGAAATGGACACGATTGAGTGGACGATCGTCTTCACGGTAAGATGCTACCGAGCTACGCCCGTTCTCAGAATACTCGTCTTCCGAGTCGGTTGCAAATTCCAGGCTCCATGGCTGGTTAGAGGAGCCGTCTTTCCGACGAAGGTGTGCCTCCCTAGCCACGCGACGTTGCTGCCGAGCAAGCTTCTGATGGGCGATACGGATGATGCGTTCATCTTCTAGTGTTGCACTGTCGTTGTCGAAGATGCCTTCGGACTCACGCTTGAAGCGACGCCATTCGACAAGACAGATCTCCCTAGCGCCTTCGGTTCTCCACTTGACCTCGCCCAGCTCAACGTGCTCAAGTACGATGTAGACCTTCTTCTTAGCTGGGTCGTCAATGACCTCGAGCAAGCTGACAATATTGGGGTGACGAGCCTTTTTGAGAATGGCTATCTCGCGCTTGATCTTGTCTTCGTGGCTGTTATTCTTGCCGAGGCGTCGACGCTTGGAGTAGCGGTCGACAATCTTGATGGCGACGTATCGGCCGTGGACCAGGTCCTTGCCCAGCTTGACCTTGCCGTGGACGCCCCGGCCGAGCTCGTCGATAATCTCGTACTGGTTCACAATCTTGCGTCCGGAAACGGGGTCGGCCTGGACATCGGCAATGTGGGTCTCCTTGGGCGCTTGTCTGTGGGTATGGTGGAGCCAGGGCGTGGAATAGGTGCCATCGTCGGGCTGATCGGGCTCCTGGGAGGGGCGGCGGTTGGTAGGGTTGAAGAGGCCGGGACTGCTCACGGGAGAATTGCCAACAGTGCGTGGAGCCGACTCCATGATGTCCCTGTAGTGCTCGTGGGAGAGGCCGAAGGCGGCCAGGCTGGACAGCGAGTTTGCGGCCGAGTGCGAGGGGTGGGAGCTGCGGGAGCGGATGATGGGCGGGACATAGGGCTGGGGGTACTGCTGCAGGTGAAGAGCGGCATAGGACTGGTTGGGGTAGACTGGCCCATCGCGCTGGCGTGGAGGGAGGGCGTGAGGGTGGGTGTGGGTGTGAGGGTAGGCGTAGGGGTGGATGGGGTCTACCGAGTTGGCTCGTACAGTCGCGTTGCTGGCCGTGGATGCACTCGAGAGGTCTCGCATAAAGGCAGGGCGGTCGGGGTGCGGTGTCGACGAGTGAGGGGCCTCGTTGACGGTGGTGAGGGAGGCCTGTGAAGCATGTGCGCTGGTGCTGGGCGAGGGGTTGGTCGAGGCGGGCGAGTCGCGGGGAAGGGGCGACGAGTAGACTCGGAGGGGCTGTGGAGAGAAGTAGGAGGGCTCCGGGTCGAGGGTATGAATCTGCGACAAGAGACTGGCGTTGAGGGCGTCTGGCACCGAAGGCACCTCGGAGCGGGGCGTGCAGTCGTTCTCGTCGTCGACGGGGAGCGTGGCCGTGGCCGTGGCCGCGCCGTCTGCAGGGCCTTGACTCGGCTTGGGCTCCTCGCCATGGTGCACTTGGTGCTCTTCTCTTTGGTCTGCAGCTGCCTCTGGTGCTGCGGCGTCTGGGGCCCGGTGGCAGGCAGGTGACGCTGGCGACGATTGCGCCTGCTCGTCGCGCCGGTCCCCTTCGGCTGTCACGTCTGCATTGGGGTCGACCATGGCAACCACACAGCTCAGGACGTGTCAGCTCAGCAGCGGCGTGCGACCATGCCAGCCCTTCTACGGTTTGTCGAGGCGCAGTGCGTGGGCGGATGGTCTCATATCGCGGCGGGCTAGACGGCGGCGGCGGTGTCACAGCAAGGACAATGGCGGCCGTGTGGACTGGGCTGAGGTTCACGGTCGGCGGCGATGGGCGTGGCAGGGCAGGTTGTGATGGTAGCAGTGGGCCGGGTGGTGGGCTCAACGGCTCGATATGGATTTGGTTGAGAGACACGATCGGCTCACTTGCGCTTTTCCCTAAGCGGCGATGATAGTCGTGAGTATTTCGGGGCCCATTAGATGACGCTCTGAAGCGGGAGAGACACGCCGGGGCTGGCAGCAAAAGGTGGGGACGCTATTCTATCGCGCAGAGCATAGGCGAAGACGCAGGTGGAGGCCGTCAAACGTACCCACGGCGCGCTCACAAACGAGACGGCGACGGCGACCAGAGGCCACAATGCGCCCGGTGGACTGATTTCTTGTTGAGCAGGCCAGCTGCGATATGGCCATCTTTTTGTCTTGGGACAGCTGCCTCTGGACGGCAACCGACTAAGATATGCAGGTGACAAGAACGGGTATGGCTGCATACATTAGTGCCTCCTGGCGAGCTCGAGCCCTTGCCCTCAACAACAGGTGGCGTTCGACTGCGTGAGGGGTGTGGTTCGTTTGTTCAACCAAACTCCCTCTGCTCAGCACCATGTGCCTGTATCCCAGCTGTGGCCGCGCAGGGGGTGCCTCTGCCGCCTCCGCTTCGGTCGGCATACGCATTACATGATGAAGCGCGATAAGCACCCTGGCCAACCCATCATAGCACGTCGTCTCTTAACGGACCCTCTCTAGCACACAAGCCTTTCCCCAGATTTACCCTCGTTGATGCTCGGGTACTCGACCTTTTTTGCTTCTTCGTTCCCGTGCATACTCAACATGCTACGTCAAATCTCACGCTATCTCTGCGTCACTGCTCGTTGTTGTTGGGCCGGCACACGCACGCACACACACACACACACACACACACACATATACATACACTACCACAGCTATCGTGCGACGACGACTGCAACAATCGCCTCCGTCTTACCTTCTCTGAATAGTGTCCAGTATCCAACCCTTCAAGGCCGTATGCACTAGGTCGCATTCTGCAAGCGGCTGCTGTTGACCACAGCAAATACCTCTAGTATACCTAGGTACTTTTTCCTTTGCAAACTCCCCCTCTGATGCCACGACACCCGCTCCAGACCGCCTGCAGACACGGGCAAATTATCAATAATCAACTATCGTGAGATTCGCGGCCCCGTATGTGCACAGTCGCACGGCGGCGCATGCTGCAAAGGGCCAGCACAGATGAAGCCGAGTCTAGGCGCAGCCCGTCTCCTCAGCAATCATCGTGAAAGTCCTAATACGGTAAGGCACGCAGCATCAATTTTCTGCACCTTGACACGCTTGAGCACGGATGCATGACAAACCGTGACTCCTTGTGCATCGCGCCAAGGAGCTAGACCACCGGCTTCGCATCCTCACCTCTGCTGCGAATCTCATCTCACTCTGCTCGCCAACCATTGCCCCGGCCTTCCGCTTGTGTTCGTTGTTTCTTCCCTATTATCCAATGCCGACCCGCACCAACGCTGTGAGGGACACGAATCCGAGCGGGACTGGTGCTCCACCACGAGCGCAGTCCAACAGCTATCGTGACTCGACGCTAGGCATCTTCGCATTGCTGCTTGCTTTCCGCATCGTGAACGCACTAACCCTGCGCACCTTCTTCCAGCCCGACGAGTTCTTCCAGTCGCTCGAGCCTGCATGGCAGCTGGCTTTTGGCCCCGCTACCCATGCCTGGATCACCTGGGTAATTTTGCCTTCAAGTGCTCCATCATCACCAGTTAGCTCACCGTGGGTAGGAGTGGAGATCCCAATTGAGGTCGTCCCTGCATCCAGCGCTATTCGCAGCCGTCTATCGAGTCGCGGCACATGTTGCTGACCTCTGCGGCTTGCACTTGCCTGCTAAAGCCGAACTACTCCTAGCTGCCCCGAGAGTTACCCAAGCCGTCTTTGCAGCCTTGCTTGATTGCTACACTTGGAAACTTGCGGAAAAGGTTTACGGTCGTGGCAGTCGCACCGCTCTCACTACTGTACGCGACACCCGTAATCATGATGCAGCATTCTCTGATATTCGATCCTCCCTACTTCTAGCTTGCATTGTCTGTCTGCAGCCCATGGCAATGGTTCTGCGCGACACGGACACTATCTAATTGTCTTGAGACTACCATCACTTCGGTTGCTATCTATTATTGGCCTTGGCGGGGTGATTGTAAAACGCATATTGCACACCAGAACCTCGGCTCTCTCTCAGAGTAAGTCATGAAATCAAAACATCCTTTGCCTGCTCCGCCACCACTTTAGGCTCATGCTCCTGCAGGTTGCGCTTGTCACTACTTCTGGCAGCGCTTGCGTGTATTCTCCGGCCAACCAATGCTCTCATCTGGTTATCCATCTCTATCCCAACCCTATGGCAAGCCTCACAGCGGCTGCGCTATGTGTTGGCCCGTGAAATCCTGATTTGCGGGTAAGCTCTTGCTCTCCTTGCATCCGCTGCACGTTTCTCGTTCCCATAGTGCAAAGATCCATTGTCGGGTCTGTCTTTTTTGCATCCCCGGAGGTCACCAGACCTTTCCAACTGACGACGCTAGCTCCGCCGTACTGGTATGCTCAGTCGCGACCGATCGGCTCTATTACAGGGTCTGGACTCTTCCGCCGCTTAGATTTCTCTATTTCAACATCGCCCAGTCGTTAGCCGTCTTCTACGGGAGGAACCGCGGCGACTACTATTTCACCGAGGGTTTGCCGTTGCTCCTCACGACATCGTTGCCTTTTGCCGTGATCGGCTTATGGCAGTCGCTGCAGGGCCCAGAGCCAGAGCCACTTGGCTCAGCCAAAAGTGACAGACCGGATAACACAGCAGCTTCAAATCAAGATGCTACAGGCGGTCGGATACTTGCCCGTCTATCATGGACGGTGATTGCCATGACTGTGACATTGAGTTTGATATCGCACAAAGAAGTTCGCTTTCTTTACCCGATCTTACCCTTCCTCCACATCGTCTCCGCCAGGCCACTCAGCAGGTTTCTCCCTCCCCATGCCGCACTGTCACACAAAGCAGTTATTCTGTTTCTTCTAGCTTCAAATGTCCTACTTGCTAGCTATGCATCTCAGGTCCATCAACGGGGGGTCATTGACGTACTCGCCTACCTCCGTCATAAACACGAAACACGTAACAGCCTGTTAAATACTCGTAGCAGTACCGGGAGCAACAGTCCTGCCGTGTCCAATACGACAGTCGGCTTTCTCATGCCCTGCCACTCCACACCATGGCGCTCCCACCTCGTCTACCCTGAAATCTCCGCATGGGCTTTGACCTGCGAACCGCCCATCAACATTCCCCTCTCCGAGCGCTCGACCTATCTCGATGAGGCGGATGAATTCTACATCAAGCCTGGTCCGGTGGCCTGGCTCCGGGGTAATATGGAAGACGTACAGACGATTAAGGCGAGTGGAAGTAGATCTGGCCAGCATTGGACGCGCCAGGATCCAAAATTTAAGCGCAAGTATCGGCGTCAGTGGCCGCAAAACCTTGTTTTCTTTGAGCAGCTCGAAGCAACCCTGGAGGAGTATCTTGAGGGGACTAGGTATCAGGAGTGTTGGAGGGGGTTCAATAGCCACTTCCACGATGATTCGAGGAGGACTGGTGATGTGGTCGTTTGGTGTTTGGATGGCGTGTGAAGTCTATCGTGAATCAATACTACATAGCAGCTGTCCAAGCATGCGTCCAGCAGTTGATTGGATGATTTAACCTCACATAATCGCTCTTTTGTATACACCATCGAACCAAAAGCCTACACTCCTTGTGATATATTTTCATAGACACTATCAGCCGATACTAGTAGCATTTGACGACACCCACGTAACCTCTTTCTCACGTCACAGTTATGCCACAGACCTATTCCGCAAGATAACAGAACAAAGACACAGTACCCATCTTCCCAGCTGCTTAGAACAATGCCATCGTCATCACTCCTAGCGTCCACACCATGACCTCATTAGCCTCGCATATTCACAAACTGCGGTTGTAACATTTATCCCAGGATACCGGATCCTCGTATCTGACAGGTCATCGTCAGGTCCATTGGTCTAGAATCCCATGATCTTCAGGGTCAGTTTGGGATCTGTAGTTTCGGGGATTTTAGAAAAAAAAGGCGTTTATGGGGAAGAAGAAATATATTGATGCTAAGGTGGGGACCCGAGCACCCTTGACGACGTTACGAGCAAAAGAAAGACCGATGGGCATACCATTTTCAACGGTACCGAGATAATTGTGGCAGAGAGAAAAAGAAAAAGAAAATATAGTGGGCATAAGGGATTTGGTGGTAGCGAGATAGATTTCAGGGAAAGCCTAGATAGACGAGTCGACTGGAGCTCTCGCTTCGAGGCTTCACAGTCTAAGATGTATTACTTCATATGGAACATAGGAAATAGCCATTCTTTTGCCTCTGACGGATTCTCGCTTCTTCTGGGATCAACACTGACGTATTTAGTCCCAAAACAAAAACCAATAAAAAGACCATCCCGATGCAGACCAAAGAAACAGATCCCGCTTGGAGATATAGACAATTTTCTGGTCCTCCAATCAGCAGCATTTTGAATTTAAACGCCACGATCCTGTACCCAATGCCTACTGATCCTAGTATGCCTTCCGAGCCTAGAACGCCGCGCTGAAACCTCAACATTTGCCAATGTGATCCGACATGCCCAAAAACCTTTTTAGAACGCCTGAGAATGCAATGTGATCAAGGAAAGTATCAAGCAAGAGCGACAGCTTTTGCGCTAGCGCTTGATGTGACCGAAGCTGGTGGTGTGGGTGGTGCAACATCGATTGCAGGCGCAACCCAGCCCTCCTGGCGGGCTATCCACATGACCAAGTTGAGGTCAAAATTTTCGAAGAAGACTTCATCAAGGAAGCGAGCCTTGACACCAGCGTAGGTGTGGTACTCTTCGCGAACAGTCTCTGGGTCAACTCCGAGAATCCTTCGAAAGCAGGCAATGGTGCATCCTGTGCGGTGCTTGCCCTTGTTACAGTGGACGAGGATCGGATGGTTGGTGCGATCCATGATCAGGCGCAGAGCTCGTGACATTTCGCACGATTCAACGCGAACTTCGCCCTTGTTGGCCTTGATATGGGCGTGGAAGTGCTGTATACCAGCCTCCTTCATGAAGCCCTGATACTCTGATGAGAGCGGCTCCGGGACCAGAGTCAGAATTGTTTTGATTCCAACATCTTTGAGGAATCCGTAGTTCTTTTCCTCGGGGTAGCTGCTGCGGTATATGCAACCTGGAAGAACGGCACCGTAGTTGGAGGGAGGAATTAGAGACTGCAGCCGATCGGGTACCGAACGAATGGAAACGGCGGGTGTGAGAGTACCATGAGACTCCGCTGTGCAGGTCACAGAGCACTCGTGGTTTTGAGGATCCACGATAACCTTCAAGTCCTCGTGCTTGGTCTCACCAGCATGTTGGATAAGCCCATCACTCGCAGTGAGCCCAAGAGAGGCGACAAATTCCCTGATCCTTTCGAATAATACGCTTTCCTGAGCGTTTTGGTCCTGGCTGGTAGACGTCGCGGAGTCTCGGTTTGGTGCAGACATGTTGGAAGCGCTGCAGAGCTTCAGAGCTTCGAGTCGGAGTGTGTGAAGATAGTATTAAGGGTATTAAAGGAATATGCTCAAGCCCTGCGTGTGTTGTGCCTGGACAAGTTTTGGTCAAAATTTCACAGTGCCGGTCGCCGTAGCTGGATATGGTCGATAGTAGGTGCGAGTGTCCTGGATGTGAAGTCGTTCGAAGACAGGAGACACGGGGGCAGAAGCCGACGCGGGCAGCCTTTTTCACTGTTAGATTTGATCATGCGCGGTAACTGGCTCGCTTTTGAGGCTCGCTTTTGAGAGGTTGCTCGGTAGGCAATCGCGCTGTGAACCACGGATGGAGTGGTCGTGTGCACAGCGGCCAATGGAAGGGCACGCTTTGGAATTGTCGGGGCTGTTCACGGGGCGAGGGTGACAAAAGGGGCAGCGTGAATGGAAGAGCAGGAACTTACCTCGCTGTTACCGGCTGGTTACAGGACACATGTTGGGAGCGTCTTGCGGTGATGCGAAGAGGCGGCGAGGTTCATTGTGGTTCAAAGGTAAGGGTGTGTACTGTGGGCGAGGTGGTGTGGGCAGTGCTCGGATATTTGTGTGGTGACAAGTCGGGGCGGTAGCGAAGAAACGGCAGCCGTAGTTCGCGGGGGGTGAGAAGTAGTGTGATTATAACAAAGGCTGGTGTTGTGGACAGTGGAAGAAATCGGGTCGTCCTAGCGCGCCTTTCACGGTTCGAGTAAGATGCGTCGGAATAAATCCGCTTGCCTGGTCGACGAATCTCAGGGTCCGCCAAGCTCCGTACGTCACTTGCCGCACCTCTCCAACGGTACTTTTTGCATGCAGGAACGCAGAGTATATAACTCATCCATGTGAATTTGTCGCCTGCGTGATAGCAACCCTCTCCAGCGACCAGCAAACAGGACGCGAACCCCGCACTTGTCTTGCCATGCCTTGCCAAATGACGGCAAGCACAAAGCAAGCGCCAGTAGCACCTGGGCCTGCTTCGCTTCTGCTCCAAGGCGACCGCCCCACCGCCGTCTGTCGCATGGTTCGGACTTGGACGGCGCGTCTCAACACCGTCTCGCCCCCGAGCCTCAGCGACAGGTTTGATGCCCTCCTAACCCCGTCGGCTCCGTCATCGCTCCACTCGTACGATATGGAGCCGTGGGTCTGGTTTCTTGGTAGAACCAAGAAATCTTCTCAAGAACTCCACGGAACAACCGGCACATAAGAGACGTGAATAATACAGTAGGCGCGTCAGAGCATTGCTGTACACGGCAAAGGCTAGTTGGCGAGCCTTAGCAGGCTACTCGCCCACAAAGCAGGCAGGCCGACTGCTCATATACAATCATCTCATAATTTGCCTTAGCTCAGCTTCCGTGCCACAATCATGCTGATAGTCACTACCGCCACCTCCGACTTCTCCTGCTGTTTCCTTCAGGTGCTTGACCATCGCCATTGTTCGCATCCACATAACCTCAGAGTCTGAAGCTCAGGGGAATATGCCGAAAAAGCATCGAGAACCTTTTCCCACGATTGCATGGCATCTCGTGCGGACAAACATGCTCTCAGACATCGATCGCGCATCGGTGCCTTAGGTTGCAGCTTCCTTCTTTCACACTCCAAGTCGAATTTTGCATCTCACCACTTTCACGTGAAAACCCATGCGATGATCCGCTAACCATAAAGGGCTAGTCATCTCTTCCCCAGAGTCAATGTGTCAGGCCGTCGAACCTCGGTCACTCCACCAAACACGGTAAGCATCGTAACATTTCTAGATCCTCATTACAACTCATTGTTTCTTGTTCTGAATTTCAACACTATGGAGCCACTGCGATCAACCTCGCGCTCACGTCGCTCCTATCCGAACCTCCATAATCTCTCCATAGCCCCTCTCAGCGCCAAATACCCTCTCGATGCATCCGTACCGCCTTCACCCGACGAACCAGGGACGCGCACCCCTCGAACATCATACATCGCGCAAAAGTCAGCGCCGGCAACACCGGGTGTATTAAGTCTTAGTCAGAGCCGCAGCAGTTCGCGGCAGCGTCCCAAGAAAGCATATGCATACGAGAGTTATTTCGTCAACCCCCATTCCGAGGTTCGCGAAGTCGGAGACATACCAAAAGCAAAGAGTACAAGCGTTCTGCATCCGGGTGTCAGCTTTGCAGACGATGTACTAGGTGTAGATACTGGGAAGAAGAGACATCATACACGGAAAGGCACAGCACCCTTGCCCTTACACTCTCCTCTCGTGAAGCACCATACCCGAGAGTCAAACGAAGAGTGGCTGCACCGCGCTGGCTTAGCAATCGCTGGCGAGACAAGGGATAGCAAGGGTCAGGGTTGGCTCGTGAGACGAGAAAGCTCTACCAGTCTGGTTGGACAGAGCGACCAATACGAACAACATGCTTCACACGACGATCGCCGTATGACTCTGCTCTCTGGCGAACACCTTGGTGACTCGGATTACCCCACCTTCTTCTCGCCACGCATGTCTAGAGTAGGAAGTCGCGTAGGCTCTCGCGTACCCAGTGCACGGCAGAGTCGACGAGGTAGTAGAGCAGGTAGTCGAGTCGATCTAATCATGTCGGCGGGATCGAAACCGCAATCGGGAAGAGCCAGCTTCGAGATCTCAGAGCTAGATGAGCGCTTTATTGAGCCTGACTTCATCGAAGCAGATGAGGAGAGCGATGGCGATGAAGAAGAAGTCGCTCGTCTGGCACGCGAACGCGGGTTTGGGCTTGGAAGTTGGATGGATCGTCTCATTGGTTGGACACTGTTTTCGGTTGAAGAAGATAGAGAAGGCTCCGATGACGAGGACGTGGAAGAGGATAGAAGCTTGCGACTGGATAACCTCACCACAGAGGAGCTTAAACTACGTCGCGAAGTCGAAGCCAAGCGACGCAAGCTCGAACGAGAAACGATCATCGCTGCGTCAGCTCTGCGCGGACAAGGCGATGCGGCCACTACGGATACAGATAGCAGACCAACCACTGGGGAATCTCAACGTACTGCGGCTAATGAAGAGGTCGGCGGTTGGCAAGATGCTGCATGGCTACTAAGCGTTGCTTCTAAAGCTTTGTTCTGATTACGATTACTTAGACAATCCATGATTATAATCGCACTACAGAAAACTGTGAGTGCTCGAGAGAAGGAATTCTTCCCGCTGACATTTGTTCACAGCGCATCAAGCTCGTCCGTCCAAATTGTCTTACCCAACATTCAGACCATTATCCACCGCCTCTTGTCCGTCTGACATACTCGGCGGTCTATCCTCCATCTTCGTACCCCAATCACTCTCCGTGTCCCCCAACACGAGCTCCAACGTCCAACCCTGTGTGAAGAACTCATGTCCAATCCAATTCTTCGTATACACCATGCCATTCAACTTAGCGCTCTGAATGTAGATGTTCTTGTACTCTTTGTCGAAATTGGTGTTATGTATAGTAGCAGTGGCGTTTGTAAGCTTATTGGTAATGGATATGGAAGGGAAGAAGGGAGGAATAATAAAGTAGACATTTTGGCCTGGGTTTGGGAAGAGACCAAGCATGCTGAAGAGCGTGAAGGATGCCATGCTACCGGAATCGTCGTTGCCTGGAAGTCCGGCGGGTGTGGCGTTGAATCGTGATGGGATGTCTGTGCTTCAGGTTAGTGGCCATAGACCATCTCACATGACTTTGTCTCTTCCTTCAGGAAAGACTTACAGTAATGCGCTCTCTCGGCACTGAGCGCCGGCCTCCCTGCAAAGTGCGATAGGTATACAGTGAGAAAAACTGGTTCATTTCCAATATCCGCTAGACCACTCGTGTGGAAGTAGTCTAGTCTGCGCTGGAATGTCTCATCGCCACCGAGTAACTCAATAACTCCCCTGATATCGTGAGGTACGAAAAACATGTACTCCCATACACTGCTTTCAAATGTCTCGGAAGGGTTGGACGTCAGCGAACAGAAGTCCGTCAAAGGACTACAGGCAATAGGGTCTTGGTAGCCCCAGGTTCCGTTTAGATTCTTCGGTTGAAAAAAGCCCGTAAAGCCCGTATCGACACCATTGATGGAAGAAGTTTGATCAGCCTTGAAAAGATTTCGCCAGTTTGTCGCACGAGAGAAATACTTCGCTGTCGTGTTCTTACCAAGACCTTTTGCCAGAGCGGCGAGGTTATAGTCGTTGTAAGCATACTCCAGTGATCGAGATATACTCCTCGAGTTTGTGCCAAAACCGTAAGGGTCGAAGTCAGAAACTGGGATGTAGTTCAAGTTTTTCCAACTAGCTAGGCCACCACGACCCTCTTTACTCCACTCCAAAGGCTCGTTCTCCGCGTCGTTGACGATAGCTTCGTAGGCGAGTTCCCAGTCTATACCGCTTATGTTTTTAACGTAGGCATCAACTAAAACATTGTCAGCGTTTGAACCACCCTGTGTCCAACCTTTGCAGGTGCTCATCATGCAGTCTGGTAACCAGCCGCGGTATTTGTATGTATCAAGAAGACTTCGTATCAAACCAGACATGAGCAATGGTTCCAAGACGCTGAGAAAAGGTAGTTGCACGCGCCACATATCCCAAAGACAGTAGAAACTATCAAAATATGGTTCGTTGCTTTGCCAGTGTGGGTTCTCGCCAGTGTAGTTCTGAGGTGAAATCATGGTACGGTAGACCGCACTCCAAAAATTGGTTTGTATGTTGTCTTCCATGTCGCCAGTTTCGATGACTATTGGAGTGAGTTTCTCGCGCCATACGTTCTGGGCCGATGTAACGAGTGTTTCGAAGTCTGCATCGGGCCTTGGAATTTCGCTCCCAGCGCTCTGGCAAGCCTGGTCAGTGCTAATAAAACTTAATCCCATCTAAGTTATTGACCAAAAAAGTCAGTGTATGTTTCACATGCAGTTCATACAGAAGAGACTTTACCCGCGCAATTAGTGGTCCAGAAAGTGGGCCATTGAAGCGTATGAAGCCACCAGCTTGAACATAGAAATTGTTGAACCCACGCGTAACATGCAGCTCTTTTGGTTGTTCACCAGCCCTATCATTGACCCATACTCCAGAGTCTTTGACGGACCCTCCAGATATATCCAGGCAAAAGTAGGCCATATATGAACCTGCCCCGAAGCTTGGCAGAAAAGTGGCATTGCCTTTCATTCTGCCCACCTTCTGGCCTCCGTCCGCCTCTATAGTGATGGAAGCATTCTGGCGACTCGCCCATAAATCTGTCAGATCAAGCATTACAACCGGATCGTAACTTTCGTTTCGAAAAGATGCTGCTGAGAAGTTAAAGCGAAAGAGCGCAGCGTGTTCAGAGACGGTCATATCAGCGCGTATCCCGTTTTCCAGTGTTACCCCAAAGTAGCCTGGGCGTGCTTCGACTGATTCGTTTCGATAATGAGTTGCGCGTGCTGCGATTGAAAACTCGCATGTGTTGATATCAGTGCCTGAGCAGACTTGAGGAAAGATAGGGAAGTTGCCTAAGCTTGGGTTTCCTCCGGTTCCAGAATCATGCAAAGCCGAGAATCCAGTGATGTTGCTACCATCGGTGGAGAACCCTCCAGTATTCTCGCCGTCTACATCTGCAACGGCTTTGTTTGTTTTTAGCATTGGATGTTGGTATTTGTCTCATGCTGCTAACCTTTTGCCATGCTGTAAGGTAGTGTTGCACCTGCGAAGACATTTCCGCCATCCCTACTGCCGATCAACGGATCGATCCATCGCAGGGCATCCAAGCCTTGGATTTGCTTCGCATGTGTTCCTGTCTTTGACAATGTTACAAGATATGTGAAAGTCCGGATATAAAGAATCAAGGTTTTCATGTTGAAGCTTGGTGCTCGCGGCCGCCTATACACTTATGCTGGAGCAGAAGAGCGTGTATCTTGGTGGGCAATTCAACCTCGAAGCCCTTTGAACAGGTCAACGGTACGTGTGGTCGCTCCTACGGTTTGGAAATTGAATGGATGGGATACACAGCGAACGAAGGTTGCGACGCGTGCTAGCACTGACTTTGTTAAGTGTCTGACGAGTATCGCCCTAGTAAGGTTTACTTGTACTAGGGGGTTGATGGTTCCTCCCTGTTTGAGCGGGGTGTGTTGCGGGGTAAAGAAACCGGCTATCCGGTGTTGTAACCTCAGACTCATCCGCATTGTAGCATCTGTTGATCATTGTCGGTGACTCCAGAGCGCTAGCAATAGGACATGGGGTTAAGATTCTGAGCTTATCTTCAGCCTTGCACAGCCGTCTCGCCGTAGCGTCTCGCCTTGTTGCAGGCCAAGAACACGCCCCGTGCTGCCTCCCCCACAACCGGCTTCTTGTACTGCTGTGCAACGTACGAAGCAACCACAGCACCCGTAGGTCTTATACGGCACTAAGAAAAGTGCACACGAGTCCCATTGGTTGTGTGTCGAGTCCAAGGCCATTGTCCTAAAATGGATACCACCGACAGACGTAAGAACATGCCGGTGGGTATGCAATCGCAATTTCAGGTGTGCTTACTACAGGCTCTATTGCTGGTTCTGAAAGGAATGGTTTCTCGTATGGAGCATAATTTTCGATGCATGGTTTGGAGCCCAGCGATCCATAGGCTAGCTGCTCTTAACCGGGTCGTGTACCCGGCTAGCCGGACCCTTGTAGAAACAACAGATACGGTTGTGCTTTTTCGATCAGACATGATCTTTGACTTCCTTTGCCACCTTGGCAGTATTGGAAGACCCTGCCACCCATGTGAGAAGTGAACGATTGCAGAACTTAAGCAGAAAGACATTCATCTCGAAGTGTCAAATTCCAATATCTTTCCGCTCTAAATTTCTACCGAGTATGATTTGCACAGTTTCGAATTGTTCGTCTAACATGGCGGTATTGTTGTCATCAACTCCCTTTGCTGCGAAGGTGCTGTGAATTTGTGCATTCCCATGTCCAGTGAACACGAGGGCCTCGTGCGTTTCTTGTGCGGCATCACATCGCCAGCCGTATACCGTTTTGAACGAATTTATTCTTTGAAGCTGTTGCGTATATCTGGCGACGACCTTCTCGACAGACTCCATGCATTCTTTCTTGAAAATAAACCTTTCCATTGCCAGTATCGGGGCCTCTAGAGGAAGTGTGTGTATGCCATCTAATTCCACGTGCATAGTCCAACAGAATTGAAGCATATCTTCTTGGGGGCCAAGAACCTCGTCTCGAGCTGGAGAATCCAGAAAGTTTTGGTGCGCATCCAAACTTGGCCATATGCCTAGAATGTAGATTAAAGCGGGGTCCTCGACGCAATCGTAGAACTGTGAATTTGTACGCAGCTTTTCTCGGACGGATGACAGGCTTTGTATCAGTGCTGGATCGTCTGCCGCCACCTTCCTAAGACGCAGTTGGGTGATTTCGAGGACCGCCATGCTTCACCATGGATGTGCATAACGCAAAACCTTGTACCATGGACCAATCTCGTAAAGGGGAACCATGTAAGAAGAGGAGCACGGCGGGGACGGCACTCAGGAGAAACCTGGAAAGACGGCCGCCAATATGGTCGCTTTGATAGCGCCTTGGCATTCCACTGTCCGCTGTGCGATTAGCTTAAGGCCAGCCAGCGTTTCCTTTGGCATATTCGCTGCCTGAACATCATTTGTGCCTGGTACGCCTCGCATGCTACAGACAACAAGATTACGCGAAACCATCCTGCCTCGGTTGATCGACACCATTCTATTGGTCTCCCATGGACTCGCAGTCCGCCTCTTCGACTACCATGGCCACTGCGTTACATCACCTCTCAGAGATAGTTGCATGCAGCTCTAACTATTGTTAACAGGTATCCTGGTACACGATTGCTTGGTGAGTCAAGGCGACACCATGCAATTTTCTGGGCCCTTCCAATAACCGGTCTTTTGGACGCCGACAGCAAGAAGCCAACCTATCAGCGCAGATCTCTCTTGTAATGCGTGCCCCCATCTCGTGATGCAAAAATAGTCTGTCAAACATCTACAGGCAACAGTGAAAGCCATATTTATATGTTGTCGCATTCTAGTGGTGGTCCTGCGACGCCATCTCGACGCAACCGGGATGGCCTGAAGGCCATCAAGGCGAAGTTGTCTGTCGATTTATGATTTGCGCTCGCAAGTATGCCCGCAGTGGTTGCATATCACAGATGCTCAGCAGGTTAACGCATGAGAGTAACACAGCCCTCAAAGCCATCCGACAGTATGGTTGCATACCGGTGAGCGGGCTAGTAACCGGAGACATCTGGAGCCCTAGCATGCTAGACCCTTTTGGAGACCTCGGTCATCGAGCTCCTAAGCGAGATCGTAATCCTATTAGTCGGAGCTGTTTGTTTTACAGTATAGTGCTGCAAGCCAGCTAGGGCTCAGCCGTACACTTGGCGTCCCCTGATTAACATGAACCACCCCCATCCGCGGGGTCGCTTCACGCTCACAGTCTAAGCCCCCAGATCACGTAGTTCATATCTAGGGGCTATTGCATAGCACAGCAGAATATATACTGCTACAGGGGAAGCGTACCCGCGAATTGCACATGCTAAATCCTTCTTGTACCTCTGGTATCTTTATTGTTAATGTCGTCGCCTCAAGATCGCGGTGGTGTGATCGAAAGCTCTTCAAGTGACTCGCCAACTTTGTCGGATGGCGGAAATGGGGGTGCGCCGCCACTACCTCGCAAACCAATTCCAAGGAAGGGACATACCAAGTCACGCCGTGGTTGTTTCAACTGCAAGAAGAGGTACTTTTGGAGAAGATCAAGCGCAGGTGTATGTATGTGTGTGTGCATACGTTCTGACACTAGCACAGAAGGATCAAATGCAACGAAAGGCACCCTGAATGCAGCCATTGTATCAAGGCGGGATTGCAGTGCGAGTATCCAGCAAATATCATTCAAGCGATGCAGCGACCTCAACCATCGTCACAGGCTCAGGAAGTAGGTAACCCGCGATCAGCGTTAGGTGTTTTCGTGAGTGTATTCTTGGGCTTACATTCAACATCACAACACCTAACAATCGAAAGTCTATGGCGGATATGCGTTTGTTCCATCATTTTCTCATTACAGCCTACCCGCACCTCCCTGTTGGAGCCGACAAGATCTGGATCACAGCGATTCCTAGGTTTGCACACAGGGTATGTACTTTCCTCCACACCTCCAAGAGGTAACCGAAGTGCTGAATACTTCAGTATGAGTACCTCATGCACTCGATCCTAGCGCTAGCCGCGTCGCACTTGGATGCTGTTACGCATTCCGGTGTAGCCGAGCAGGCCATACAGCATAGAATCTTAGCTATGAAGTCTCTCAATGAAGCCCTCTCGGCACCTCCAAAGACCAGTTGCGAACGAGATGCAAGAATGGCCGCAGCCCTAGCACTTGCTTTCCAATCAAGCCACTTACAGGACGGTATGGCAGAATTCCTCACGATGGTCCGTGGGTGCAACCTAATTGGAGGCAACGAGACGACGTTGAGAGATGACTCAATCTTCAGTGTAAACACACCCATATTGGATGGTTTCGAAGCTCATACTGACGATATATAGGCATTCAGTGACGATGGCCACCTCCACACAATGCGAATGCGCGTCGGGACGTCGCCGCTGACTTGCGTTAACCACGAAGATCTCAACATGGCCGCGTTATCTCTCAACCTCATCAAGGCTCTAAGCATGTCGGACTGGGAGCTTTCATATTGGGAAACACTAGTATGCACAGTCAGTCATGCATATGACAGTCCGGTGGAGACATACACCACGTTCGTCATGCTCTACAACACGCCATCCCACTGGACCCATGATGAGTTTCAAGCCTTCATAGATCCCAATAACAGCGTTGCACAAATTCTCCTGGCTCACTTCATCGCGATCCAAGCCATCCTTACACCAATTCTTTACCTTGAAAGAGTCGACTTTCAGGGTGTACATGCCCCGACTGCGGTGCTGGGCTGGATCGAAGGGATATATTGGAATGTACCATGTCATATGAGGCACCACGTTGAGTGGCCCAGAAAAGTGTCTCGGTATCCCTTTATACGATTTATGGGGCAAAAGCAGGTCGAAAACTGCGATACGGATGCGCTTCTGGTTTAGATTTGTAAGAGACTGGGTTAAGTTTGTAAGCTTTCGTCTTTTGTTATCAACACAGTATTCTACCTACGATTGACGACCTTTCTGTACTATTGAGATACCCACAGCTGCTTCGCAGTTCAGAAACACAGTTACTTCGCTTTTCACTAAGTATATGTGCTGGTCATAGACCGAAATCATTTCCTACTCTGCTCGCCAAAACACGGTAGATATTATTGGGAAGCCTTGGCTTGTACACTGAGCCGAAGACCAAATCTACCGATCGAACAATCTGGAAGAGACACTCGCTCATCAAATTGTTCCAGACCTACGTAACATGTCGTAAATTACTCAATCGAAGGCTCTTGTTTCTTCAATATCTCCACAAGCCTCACAACTGTCTCAGGACTCCCGACTCGGATTAGGTTAATATGCTCTCTAACCTATACCAGCATCAACGCACCCACTGGTTGTACTTGCATACCTTTTCATAGAGAACATCCCAAAAATACCCAGTACCATCTCTGAAGCGTCATAAACCAGCCGCAAACAAGTACTGTCGTATCTGTTGTCGTAATAGCTTGAGAGAATATTTGAAAGTATTGAGCTATGATGGGGCAATTTCCTTTGGGAGGTTTCTGGCAGCTGATGTGTGTGATTCTGGTCGATGAGGATATGGATCACCTCTGACCTATGTATTGAGAGTGAAATAAGAGCTGAGAATGATGTGTTCCAAGCCACTCAAAGAATAGTGCAGAGGAGGACATCAACTGCTCGGAACCATGTTTCATATCTATGGCCAGGGAATCTGTCGAAGTATGCGACGTATCCTCCCTTTGGAGAGTATGATGTTGGGTGAAACGTATGATGTCTATCATCGACATTTGTGTGCATCTGCTGAGCATGAGGTTAGGCGACTGGCCAACCCAAATATCTTCGCGACCTGCACTAGATGTCAAGACCCTCAGCCAACTGACTCGACTTGATTCAAATCGAACAACATACCATCATTAAACGTTCATAGTTGCACATCGCTTTCAGGTCGTTCCTCTAATCTACTGCAATAGAGTGCGTATTGGTGCCAAGGCAAGGCAGAGATATCCCTGGATATGTGACTATGGTACTATTCTTATGTAGATTTTGGGCGAACATAATGCCAGTTGGCATGCTTGGGAACTACGTCTAGATCCAAACTCAAGCCCGGTTATCATTGTACCCTACTGACAAGATATCACGTTATGCAGACATGCTCCCAAACCACTTCCTCATCAGGCTCTTCCTCTCTCTCTTCAGTTCGATAGCATCCTCCTCCACTACAGCACTATCCCTCAATCTGCCAACCCATTTTGGAGGTCCCCTCTCTCTAACGCATTTTTCTTGTGCCTTGATCCAATATTCTTGCTCCATAGTGCGATCATTACAAGCATTGGCGTACCAGTCGTGCCATTCCTTATGATCCCACCCACACCTACTTCCCCATTTCTCTTTGATCTTCTCAACAAAGCCTTCAAGCTCAGTCTTCGCACAAGCAGAGCAAAGAGTCTCTTGTGGAAGAAAGCCAGAAATTGGTGTACGGTAGTAGGTGTAATGGTTCGAATAAGGTGTGTAGTAGGCTTTGCAGTGTGGAGATGTGCAAGGACGGAGTGTATAGCGCCAATCCCATATATCTTCTTGGGCTCCTGGTTTTCCTTTTGTTCCGTTATTTTTCTGGTTCAGGGATATCGGACGGACACCCAACACTCTTTGCTTTTGTTCTTGTACTAGTGCGGCATCCTTGTATCGGCGTTCTCGTCTGAAGCCCTCTTTCAGTATCTCAAACTCTGCAGCTATGACGCCCAGGGTCTTCCGCCCGGCGCTCTGACGTAGATTCTCGTACTCGCGCTTGCACGATACGTTGGCCTGATTCAAATCTTGGTTGGCATGGCGTGGACAGTAGCCGTGAAGACGGGACATGTTATACGGGCTCTGAGGTAGGTAGTAATTCGATCCCGTACGAGCAGGCGTATAATGCAAGGTACATGAAGGATACAGGCAAGGTATGTAGTGGTCTAGAGGGTTGTATTGACCTGGCGGCGAGGACACCGAAGGCTCTAAGACCACTGGAGCCGACTGAGTGGAGATACGTAGGTTGGTGGACTTGGTAGACCTGGTAGACCTGATGGACTTGGTGGACTTGGTGGACTTGGTAGACTGGTAGGAGGCCACTCGCGACTTCAAGCCTACGTTTGGCGGTGTAAAATGAGCTGGTAGAGGAATTCCTTCCCATCTTGAATCGGGCTCTTGACAAGAAGCCGATCTGGCTTTGAGACTGCTTACTCTTTTCCTAACAACCTTAAGCGACCCAGCTGAGCTTACGGGAAGAGAGATTGGGCGTTTCGGAGTTGGCGATATTGGTGTTCCCCACGCTTGGAAATTATCGATCTGTTCCATCAAGGTCGCAGTTGGACTTGTAAACGATGGTATATGATGATATTGAGCCTTTGTGAGAGGATTCGGTATCTTGTTGACCAAAGGTTCTGGTAGCTGAATAGTCTTCGGTCTTGCTCTTGGCCATGTCTGTGGCTTTGGCAGAGGATCTGGCTCCACGAACCGCACCGCCGATGGTGACGATCTTCTATTAGAGATCATAGTCACCGATTCGGAAGATTTAAGACTGGGCTTTAGGCTCGATCTTTGAGGTCTCAGTGGTGATGAGGTGGAAGATGGCGATGTGTTGTATTGATCATTCAACGACGATTGAGATGAGCGTGGTGTTGAGGGGGCGCTGGAAGCTGTATCGACGAAAGGCATATCAGCAGATATTATGTCTGCTATTGTTGGAGTATCGGTAGTGACTGTTGAGGAGCGACTCTTTGAAGTGCTGACCAAGGGAATATGGCTGGCTGTCGACTTTTGTGTACTCTTTGATTGCTGGGTGGGTCGCATAGTGCCAGTCCCTAGATGTATAACCTGAGACATGACGGGCAGGGATGATGCCAGCAACCTGCCAAATCGAGCCTTACATGCAGGGCTTATCGATGGGACGAAAAGGAGATCTGGTGGACATCCTGTGGTCCAGGAGGAAAACAGTAGTCTCCGGAGTGGTCGGATGAAAAGTTAAAGGGCGACGTGAGTAGTGCAGACAGGCGGTTGAAAAGTAAACATCGGGAAAAGTACGAATCAAGATAGGGGCAGTACAGCCTGCTTCAAAGCGGTTGAGTCGTCTAAAAGTATTCCGCAGATGGGAAAGCAAACAAAAACGAAGAAACACAGCATTTGTGTCGGAAAGGTGATGTGGACTCAGCCTATTTATCTGCGTTGACAAACGCCGCCTGACATGTCGCGCCTATACTATTGGACACTCACCAGCCGCGTCATCGCTCTGTAGAGTCGGAATAAGATTTGTGTATCGAAGGATCTTACATTGTTGAGTTTGAAGGGTTATAGATGAGATCTGCAGCGGCGAGAGAGGCGAAGTCCAGTCCCAGTCGGCCTCGCGAACACGCTATCCTATTGGGAACAATACACGCGAACCGCCTCCGCACCGTGAAAGATAGTTTGAGTAAGATTGACAGATTCACGCAATTTCGGAGAGGGGCGAAAGACAGAGAGAAAATCTGGCATCGCTCTGTCCAATCTATCCACGCGACGAGGTGTCGAACAAGAATGTTACATCTAAGCCAAGAGACTGTCGATTGTCCCGGAATGGTATAATTGTATGGCACATGGCAATTTGGAATAGTTCTAGTAAAGTGTCTATAGTTTGGCCTTGGGCTGTTCTTGCTTGAGCATCGCTTCGGCAACAAGGCGTCGCTGAATCTTTCCTGTTGCAGTCTTGGGCCTGTGTGTGCGTAGTCAGTGCATGTTTCATCTGCATTGTTGTTGTTGTTAACGTACATGATATCGGTGAAGAAGATCTACCATTTGTTAGATTATGTCTCACACCGCTGGGTTCGATTGGACGTCGACATACCTTTTTCGGTAGCTTAAATTTAGCAACGCGGTCCGTCAGCCATGTCTTCAGCTCTCCCGCAGTCAGCGCATGGCCCTCTTTGACCACAACCGCAAGACCAACATCTTGGCCATACATCTCGTCTTCGATGGCGAAGCTCACGGCTTCAGATACTGCGGGATTCTGTGCAATGACGTTGTCCAGTTCGATCGGGCTAATTTTCTCACCACCTTTGTTGATCAGCTCCTTGATGCGACCAGTAATGATGACATATCCTTCAGCATCCTGCTTGCCCTGATCTCCAGTACGGAAGAAACCGTCTTTGGTGAAAGATGAGGCGTTGGCAGCTGGGTTATTGAGATATCCCTTGGTGACGTTTTCACCACGGATACAGATCTCTGCCTCTCTTCCTTGTGGTACCTCCTTGCCAGCATCGTCGAGGATCTTGACTTCGACACCCTGGCCAAGTCCCACACTGCCGGGCTTACGTTGGTTGGGAGGAAGAGGGTTACTAGTCATCTGATGCGCAGCCTCTGTCATGGCGTATGCCTCCAACACTGGGGCTCCGAACGCCTTCTCAAGTTCGTGGAACGTTTTGGGCGAAAGGGGACTGGAACAAGATCGGATAAAGCGGATTTTGGCCATTGGGCTCGGAAGGGGACTCTTCAGCAGAATCTGGTGAATGGTAGGGACGGCGGTATACCAGTTTGCCTTGTGCTCATTGAAGTCTTTCCAGAACTCGGAGGCGGAGAACTTGGGCGGCACAATGACTGAACCTCCCGACGCCAAGGGAGCCAGGAACCCAGCGAGCAAACCGTGCACGTGAAAGAGAGGCATAACCAGCATGGTACGATCGTTGGGTGTTAACTCATAGGTTCCCTGGATGTTCTTCATGGTGCGCAACAAATTGCGATGCGTCAGGGGTACAGCCTTGGGTCGTCCAGTAGTACCGCTCGTGTGCAGCACAAGAGCGACATCGTCGGGCTGCGCAGACTGGACGGGCGCGGTTATACCCGCAAGCTTTCCAGCCTCCTTCACATCCAGGACGACCTCACTGCCATTGTAATAGCATTCGGCGATGGCGGCATTGTATTTCCTTGCTGCGCGGACAGCAGCCGCATCTTGCGCAAATGCACCCTTTGGTACCAGAGCAATTGCTGAGCTGAGGTCGTCGATGTAGAACTCGAACTCGGATTGCTTGTATGCCGGGTTCAGTGGCGCTGCGATAGCTCTCTGCCATGATGCAGCGATGAAGGACACGATGAACTCATACGTGTTGGGCAGTGCGATGGACACAGCTGCCTCGGCAGAAACGCCGACCTTTGCCAATTGTTGTTGGAAAGCCTTCACGTCGGTGGCAAGCTTCTTGTACGTGACAGTCAAGGCAGGGCTGCCGGGGACGATGACAGCGGTCGATGTCGAGTCCTTGGAGAAGGCGTGTTCTAAAGTGGTTGGAGACATGATGATTACTAGATAGGGGATCTGGCGGTTGCGATTAGATGGACACTCATAACGCTGGGGTTCAGGGCCATGGTACCTTGATGCTTCTATGACGCGCAAGGAAAATCTAAGGTCTAATGCGGACACCGGAGCCTGCTCAGATGTATCGAGAGATATGGAAGTCACTTATCAAGGATAAGGATTTGGGTATGACAGGATAGCAATGGGCGTTCCTGCATGTATGCACACGTAATGCGGCTAACGCCTTAGCGTGGGGAACCGACGACGACACGCGGGCTGGGGTGCTTGGCGGGCCTTTGACATTGCGCCTGCCACTCCACCACCCTCACAACAGCCTTACAACCACAACCACAAACCTCAACCGCCGCCTCTGCTCCATGTACTGTGCATCCACAAAACACTTACTAATCTAGCCATTTTTCTGCACTCTAGCTTCCCCCGCCGCCATCCGCCTAGTGACGAGGGCAGCCACATTCGCATTACCCCAAGTCGCGCCTGCGCGCACATCGATATCAGCATGGCGTCTCAGCAGCCGCAGAAGGCGCAAGGCCTGCCCAACCCCTATGGTCTTCCAAACCCCTACGCCCAGAAAGGCCTTCCAAATCCGTATGCTTCGGCCACCATCTCCGCTGCGCCTGTCAAATATACAGAGGAACAGGCCAAGGCCGAGCAACACAAGAAAGCACCTGGTATCTATCTGAACTGCTCCGTACCATTGTCCTGAAGCATCACTCATGTGATTGTGTAGCTTTCCATAATCCACACAATATCAAGCGTCCCCAGGCCAAGAAAGCTGGCCCAACCATCAAGAAGGCCACCATGCCTGTAGCTGCACCACTCTCTTCTTCGGGTTCTGGTCCGGCCAACAACCAGCAGCATGGCATCGACTATTACCGCAGCACCGTAGAGGACGACTTGTCCATTATGGAAGAAAAGAGGATCCGCAATTATGAGGAGAAGCAAAGGAAGAAAGAGCAGAAGAAGTTCAACAAGATATTCGGACAGTGGAACCCTCAAGCTCCCCACAAACCCGAGCGATACTCCAACCTTCGAGCATACAAGGCCAGTGGCGGATACCGGCGCAAGAAGGAAGGCTTCACAGCTTTCTTACGGGGAGCTGCCGCCCAGTACAAGTCTCGTGACGGCAGTGAGGAGACCAACGGTTCCCATTCAGCGTCTTCTTCGAGCCCAATGCCTGCTACGTTTACCAAACCGTCTTTCGCCCCGCCTGCATCTTACGAAGACAGCTCTGCAATTCCCTCGTCTGACCTGTCAGGAGAAGACGCTTATGCCCGTCGCATGCGCCTGTCCCAGCAACAGCCTGACGTCGTACCGCCCCCGCCTCCAGCAGTCACTGACGATAACCCTCCGCCCCCACCTCCGCCGACCTATCAAGGTGCGACTATCTCTGCACCACCGGTACGCTATGCAAATGCGACTATATCTGTACCACCAGTCCGGTTCGAGCGCCCCGACGTTCAAATGGAAGATGCAGACAACGAACCATCCCGCGAAGAACGCCCTGCCAAGCGCGCTAAGATTAGCAAGGCGGAAGCAATGATGGCTAAAATGGGTTATAAGAAGGGCCAAGGTCTCGGAAAGAACAACGATGGTGTTATTACCCATCTAGAAGTGAAAAAACGTAAAGTCCCACAGGGTGCAAGCACTCTCGACGACGAAAACGGCAAGGTCAAGTCACAACAGGTCTGGGATGTCAGTGGTGGTATGCGCACTCAGAAAGACGAGCCTGGCAAGTTTGGTGCGGAGTCCGCTGTTGTGGTCACTTGGGGCTGTGTGGACGGTGTCGACTGGGATGCCAATGCCGAACGCAACGACGGTGGTATCCGACAAGACATGGGTGAAGCGTTCAGCAACAAGGTAAATTCCACTCCAAAGTTACGAAGGTACACATGCTAACAGAACCAGTTTGGTCCAGTTGAGCATGTTCAACTAGATGAGAACAACCAGGACGGCGTAGTTTATATCCACTTCCAGTCAGTTCTCAGTGCCCTCAACGCCGTCAACCGCTTCGATGAAGGATGGGAATTCAGAGGCAGGAAGATCACTGCCAAGTTCTACGACGAGCGCAAGTTTCACTCTGGCATTTACGATCACTAGGATCCACTCCTGCTGTTGTCGGCCGGTTGAGTGCGCGTGCTTTGGTTATTAGCGTTTGAAGAACTACCGGGGTGTTCGACTTTATGATTGGTGTTCTTGGAGACATAGAATATGCCAAGGGACGAGAAGTTGAAGGAAGTGGCACATCTGTCACGATTCGGATATGCTTGAGGAGGAAGACGTGTACAACTGTATGGTTCAAGGAGGGTGGTATACTAGAAGCCTATACTATGCACCTGAAATCAACCACCATAAGATACGGAGCCCACGTAACGCTGCGCGTCCACCATAATTCCATCACATCAATGTATCTTGTCTTTAACGCGACCTACACGCTGGCTTGTTTATACGACAATGTCAGAGGATGGAACCTTGTGTAGTTGCAAACAGGACATCGTTATCGTATCGTCCAAGGGCAGCTGCGCCGCGGTCTCTATACTCATACTCGTACAAAGTATTACATATCCACCCATCTAAAAGAGATTCCAAGATTCGCCTGCAACTAAACCATGTTTCTCATGCGAGGTACGCCCGACTCCAAGGTATATACTCTCCTTCACTTGTCCCACCTCACTCTCCTCTCCCGACTAAGCATTGCCGGGTTTTTCATCGGTATCGATATGCCATACGACATAATTCGGTAGCCCATAAACGCCATAGCCTGCTCTCTTAGCCATCTTCGCAAACCCTTCTGTCTCGGCCTGGTTTTCAAATGCATAGCTTGGGAAGTTTATGCCAGAACGGTGTACGTCTGCTTTTACAATGATGTTAACGCCACCGATGCCATCTAGGGGTATTTCTTCGTCCTTGTCGGCGCGCCAATCGCCCATCTTGGCCATGTACTTGCGGTTCGTGGGGTATTGTTTATAGCCTATAAAGATGAATTAACGAATAGAAATAGTGAGGAGGGAAATGAAGAGAGTGATACCTTCTGCAAGGACTACATCTTTGTTGAGGGTGGAAGCGAGTTTGAGACCTTCGGGAGATTCTTGCCAGGAATTGTAATCGACTGGGTCCCGTTAGTGAAGACTGTATTGCTAAGTTGTGGAAAACCTACAGCGCCCTTCGATATCGACCATCTTGCCGTTCTCCTCCTTGTAGCGGTGGAACCAGATATCTGTGTATTGTTAGCGCTAGCGCCCCAAGATGATATTGCAACACATACTAGGGACAAGGACATCGCGGTCATGTGCTACGAAGTCCTCGATGATCTTGGACGGACTATCGACAATGTCCACATCCCTCCAGTAAACCCAGCTGTGCTCTGGTTTCAACGCAGTGTATAGCAGGTAGTTCCTGGCTTTACCTAGTGCCTTTCTCCGCGGGCCTTGTGCTTCGAAGCTATGTCTGTCCTCGACACTTTGCGAGAGTGTGACACCAAAGTCCTTCTCAATGATCATCGTCGACCTGAAAGCAACTTCAGGATTGTTTTGCACTCTCTCCAGCTCCTTTGCCAACGCAGCCATAGTATCGTCGGTCGAATCGCCGACCAAGAAAGCCAAATCGATCAGCTCGTGGGGATAAGTGAGCGAGGTGAGGAGGTCGAAGTGTTTCGCAAGGTAGTATGAGGCATCGCGAAGCGGAGTAAGGATTAGGACGCGCTCCTTGTTCTTCGCTGCGTCAACGGTCGATGTGATCTTGTTTAGGTCTACATGCTCGATATCGGTGGAATTGACCTCTACTGGCTTGTGGTGGTTGAATATTACAGGTGTGTTTAGATGCGCATGCCAGTCTTCGTTCTCGTTCGCTGTCATGTGCATTGGAGGTTTTGAGGGACCGAAGCAGTAGAATCTGTTATGAGGAGATTAGCATCAGCACGATGCGAATCATGACGAGGCCTCTGCTGGAGCTCTGTAAATACGAATTGTGTGACATACCTCTGCACCTCTTGTGCTGCGGACCCCATTGACCGCCATAGCAGCAAGATCGCGGCAACCAGACCGACTGATACCAGAAACCTTGGGTTCCGCACTGTGTGTATGACCTGCCGTGATGGTGGCAGCCGTGCTTTAGCGGCCTTCCACGAGTATCCTTTTCCTGCAAGCATGTTGAGTCGGAATGGTCCCGCGTGTTCTTTCTCCACCTCTTCCCCTCTAGCCTGAGATATGCGTATCGATGAGCTACGCGCTCGGACGCTGTCTGTATTACTGGTTTCCCTCTGCGAATGAAGCGGCGGCGACTGCGACTGTGGCCTCTCCAGTTTGGCGGTTGGGAGCGCCGGGGCGCGCGACGTTTAGGGTGGGAACTAAATGTTGCGGGTGACGTCGCAGCGAAGGCGGGCTAGCAAGAGCGGAAGCGACAGACAGTAATGACTAGTGAAAGCAGGGTCCTGACTGGCTGCACGGTGGTACAGAGCAGGAAAGCAGCGATGGGGTGAAGCAGAGGCGCAATTGCGTTACAGGAGCAACTCGTTCAGTACAGATTACCGTTGAGCGCGACGAGCATGCAAATGACGCTAAGTGCAGATCAATCGCGATAGTGCCGCTGGTGACGACGCTTCGGAAATACAGTAGTCTGTAGTTCTTTCATAATTCGCCGAAAGACTTGGTGAGCCGGCAACAATGCTTCTCTGGCCACTATTACTGCTTGGTGTACTCTGGCAAGTTGTATTGCGTCCAATGCGCGACACCACCTGCATCCTAAGATGCGCACGTGAAAACATGTGTCGGTAACATCAACATCTACCGCGCCGCGGTTGTCAAGAGCGAGGCTGCATTATACAGGCCGCAGGTACATAGGATCATTGCAGCGTGATTGGCCTTGGGCAGTCTGTGATATTTACAAAAGAGGCCCATTTGTTTACCCACGTCATCTGTTATACGAACTTAGCCACTGCGGCCCGCACGTTAGAGCCCGCTTTCCGTCTTACCACGCATGTGATACGCCTCGGGACGCCTGGAAAGCAGCTACTCGCCATGACAAACTTTGATTTGGGCCTTTATGGGACTGTCCTTCTCGCATGCGTGACTTTGTCGAGGTCTCAACGAATCCGCAGTGGCTGGTGGCTCTGCTCTGGCGGTCAAAGGTGAAACTGATGTGAGGTTTGTATGGAGTGTCCGGGAGTCTAGAGTGTTCCTATCAAACACTCATATTTAGACGGCGATCACGGCGAAGGGACTACAACGTTCAAGATAACATCTCAGGCACATATGATACATGGCCATGTTTCAGTGCTACTGATCTGTTGTGAGAGTTAAGTAAGTCTTTTTTTTTCTTGAGCAGACACAAGTTTACAATGACTGGCAAATATCGAAGCACCAAAACTTGGACACACATCACGAAGAATACGAGCAAGGTTAAAGAGAAAGACTGCATGCCACTATCCCAAATAAAGCAACTCCTTCTGCAATTCTGCACTCCGTGTCGCGGAGCAGACTTAAGTGTACTGCGGATTAACAGTCTGCTCGACCCTCGTAGCCAAGTGATACATACAATTGTTACATGCTGAACCATGAAACCGTCCCCAGAAGCCCTTCAGTCCTCAGATGCTGAACTCCAACGTCAGCGCTTGTTCGCTTGATGCTATACGCTATCAAAGAAAGTCAGATGGTAGGGGTGGTCTATGCAATTAAGGAACGCCAGCGTCATGAGCTTTTTAGAAAAGGAGAACAGCGGCCATGGCAGCAAGGCTGAGAGCACCAGTGGCAGCGCTGAGAGTCGAGGCGGCGCCAGTGGAGTCATCGGAGCCACCCTGCTTGGTGCCCTTGTGGCCCTCACCAGCGGGGTCGATGAGCTTGCCCTCGCACTTGTAGCCACCCTCGATGAGCTTCTTCTCCTTCAGGGGCTTGTAGGTAGCGCAAGTCTCAGTGACGTTGTCGGTGGACTGGAGGTTGAAGGCACCCGAAACGCTGTTGAGCTTGGGGGTAGAGACGCTACAAAGGGTCAGTAATTTGCACGACAGTCGATTCAAAGAAGACTTACTCAGTGAAGTTACCGCTCATGTCGAAAGCTCCGCCGATGCTCTTAAGAGCGGGGAAGCCATCCACCTCGATGAGCTTGGAGTTGTTGGCGACCTGGAGGTTGCCAGAGATCTTGCCGAGCATGGGGAAAGAGACGTTGGACAGGTTCTCGTTGGCGACAAGGGCAACAGCCTCGCCGACGGAAGTAAGGTTAGGAGCAGCGAATGACTCGAAACCGTTGTTGTAGAGACCGAGAGAGCCGTTCAAGCGCTCGAGGGAGGGGACTGAAACTGAAGCACAGAATCGGAAGGTCAGGTTGCTAGCCCAGATGAGGTTGGGCAGGTCGACCTTGACAGCCTCGTTGTTGTCGGCAAGAGTTAGCGAGGTCGAGACGTTGCCAAGCTGCATAGAGATCTCATCAATGTAACCGTTGTTGGCGATGAAAACAGTGTCGACCTCCTCGATGTTGATGCCCTTAAGCGAGCGAAGAGCGGTGTTCTGGATGTCAACCTTGTTGGCCTTGGTGACCTCGGCGGTGAAGCCGATCTCCTGGAGGTTGGGCAGAGCGTTCCACTTGATGGAGTCGACGCTCTTGAGCTTGGGGAAGTTGACAGCGTAGAGACGGGTGAGGCCATCGAGCTGCATCTCTCCGTCGAGCTCCTCGAGGTCGCTGGCGCCGATCTGCTTCATGTCGGAGTTGTCGGTGGCAACAAGGTTGCCGTCGATCTTCTTGACGCCGTTGAGGGAGATGTCGTCGGTAACGCCAGTCGCGATGGCGATGTTACCAGAGAAGGTGGAGCACGAGGCGATGGCGCTGGCGTCACCGGCGTTCTGGATGGTCATGGTGGCAGACGTACTGCAAGCAGCTGGCGGACTTGTTAGCAAGCAACGAAGCAGTCAATGGGATCTCGTAGAGCGTACCGTAGGCACCGCTGGCAGCAGCCAGGGCAGGGAGGGCGATCTTCAGCATGGAAGGCATTTTGTGTAGTTTGCGTGGGTTGGTAACTGGGAGGAAAAGTCAGCGGACGCGTCGACAGAGGCGATTGAGAAAGGTGGACTGGGCAACACGGACCTGGGATATTAAGACTACTCGCTCCGTTT